ATTATCCATATATTTAATGGAATTCACTATTATTCATCTTATTATTCAAATGTATAAATCATTTATAAATTTATCAAATTGAGGTTAAATTTTTTTCTACAATTATTAGTCCAAAATGACATACTTGTATGACTAGGACGCACGAGGAAATTTCAGATATTGGGTGGAATGTCAGTGCGTGACGTTTATTGACTTTAATAAATGAACTGTTTAGTTTATTAAATAAATAAATATAAATTGAAAGCTCTTAAATTATTGAAATTCCATTTAGTTTCAATTGGATCACTAAAACTCAAATTTCATCATTTCGTCACCGGCTATTTCTTAAATTGATAAAAATTGTTTAATTAACCATTATATCGCAATTAATTTTCCGCAAAATTGTTCTGTAACATGTCAACTTACCACTAACCAGTGCCAAAAAAAATGTTAGAATAAAAAAAGCCACGCCGTTCTACCTTTTAATCTAAAGTAATTATTATCTTCATTGTATCATTTTTGTTTATAAGGTACAGCAAACTGCTTAACTCGAATATCAATAATCATATAACTGTCAATTGAGCAACTTTCATTGGTTTGGCAATGATAGTTGACATAATATGACAAAGTCGAGAAATTTGAAAATAAATTGAAGTCTAATAACCTAATTGAGACTAATTAAAATTTAGATATCCAATTGAGAATTTGGTGAAAGTTCAGGGACCCCTGATGAAACTAGCACTAAAAATGTCAATTTTTGGGTACATTTTTAGGTCGTTAATAAATACTTTATAATTAACTATAATGGTAGGCCCGGGGGCGACAACTTGCCATGCCCAGTCCCTCTCTTCCATCTGCACACCTACTCTTTTAACTTCACTTTCAACCACCACCGCCACCGTACTTCCTCCATCGTCTGCCACCGTCACCGATCTGATCTCTGGTGAAGTCTGTAATCTTCTAATTTATACATACAATTATGTGTAAGAACATTATCAGCTCCACGTAAAATCAAACAAGAAAAAACAATGATTTGTTAATTAGAAAGAGGACAAGAAAGTTAAACCTCGTTCTGTCCCCATGGCATCCATCATTGAAGAAGGTAAATTTATTTATGTCTCTTCGTGTAAATCATCTGTGATAATTATCTCCCCGGTTTATTAGAACTTGAACTAGGATTTTCTTTATCTGATTTATATTTTGTATCTCCTAGGCGGGAAGGATCTTGAAATGGGAGTCATAACTGAGCCCTCACTTCCGTCGCCGTCTCCGAGGGTGCCGGCGCTGGTAGTGTCGCATTCCGGCAAGACATTAGCCGGATCGAACTCCGGCAAGTCGTTAGTGGTTTCCAATTCCGGGAAAGCCTTGATCTTGTCTAATTCCGGGAAAAAAATGGACCAATCAGGGAAGAAGAAGTACGTGAAGCAGGTGACGGGGCGGCACAATGACACGGAGCTGCATCTGGCGGCCCAGAAGGGTGACGTGGCGGTAGTGAGGCAGATATTGGGTGATATCGATGAGCAGATGCTGCAGACAACGAGTGGGGCTGAGTTTGATGCCGAACTGGCGGAGATCAGGGCAGCCGTGGTGAATGAGGTCAATGAATTGGGGGAGACCCCTCTTTTCACCGCGGCCGAGAGAGGGCACATTGATGTGGTGAAGGAGTTGTTGCCTTACACCACCAAGGAAGGGATCACCTCCAAGAATAAGTCGCGTTTTGACCCCTTGCACATTGCTGCGAGTCATGGCCATCACGGTAACAGATTTTTCGGTTTACCATGTTCATTGTTTATATCAGAATAGATTAATAGTTTCCATTACATACGTATATGCCTATCTGCATTGAGAGATTCAATTAGGATGTAGGTGTTAAGGACACAGAGATAGGATGATCACTAAGCACGATTTTAAATCAAATCACAATTACTTTGTGAAGTTTACCTCACTTATTGCAGTATGATAGAAACTGAAATAGAAATTGTTAGTAAAATTATAGATGGCAATTAAGATATGCATTTTCCTGCAAAAGACTGATATTTTTCAGTAAATGGCATGAAACTAGTTAATAGCATTTCTGATATAATTGGAATGGTAATTGTTAGAATCATTAAAGATGGCAATTACGATGTGCCTTTGCCAACAGAAGATTGACAGTTTTAGTAAATGGCATGATATTAGTTAATGGTATTGCTGATATGTTTTGCATAGTTTAGCAGCATTACTTTCAGAGTATCCTAATCTGCAGTTTTATCTTTATGTTTTCGTAAAATTATATTTTATCTTTTCCTAGTGTGCTTCATTGATTCTGTCAATTTCGTTGCCAAAAACATAATTCATATGGTATTTGCTTTGTTCTTCAAAAGACAATGTTATGTCGTTCCAAATCTCAAGTAATTCTGTATTTCCATCACCTATCTGTTATAGTTTATTAACTATGTTCTTTACAGATATTGTCCAGCTACTGCTAGAGCATGACCCTGGGCTAAGCAAAACAGTTGGTCAATCAAATGCAACTCCTCTTACTACTGCAGCGACAAAAGGTCATCTGGCAGTTGTTAATGAATTGCTTTCAAAGGATTCAAGCTTACTAGAGATATCGAAATCAAATGGAAAGAATGCTTTACATTTTGCTGCCCGTCAAGGGCATGTAGATATTGTTAAAGCATTGCTTGAAAAGGACTCTCAACTAGCCAGAAGAACCGATAAGAAAGGACAGACCGCACTCCATATGGCTGTAAAAGGTGTTAGCTGTGAAGTTGTAAAGTTGCTTCTGCGGGCAGATGCAGCCATTGTGATGCTTCCTGACAAATTTGGCAACACTGCATTACATGTAGCCACCAGAAAAAAAAGGGCTGAGGTATTAATTACAGTTTCTGCTTCTCTAATTTCTATCATTTAGTTCCTTTCAAGAAGTATTATTTGTCAAATGTAAAAGCGTCAGTTTGAGATTAAGCTTTGCACCAAGTTCAGACTTACTTAACCTGCACTTCTCTTATATATTGGAGAAGTGAAATTGGCAATACATATTAGCACGTTTATGACATATTTACCACCCAGCCTGCTCTTACTTCCTAATTTTTTCATCCACGCCATTTTACGGTTTCGAATTTTCTATTTGTTGGTGGCTTTTGCTCCAGAAATTGGTCATTTCGGCATTACGGTGTTAGTTTTTGAAAAGTTTAATTTTGTAAGGACAGAGTAATGCAGTATGACACTGTATAGACAACATGAAGAATATAAATGTGTAGATGATATCATGGATTCCTACCTGATTAAGAGCATGTTTGGCTAAGCCTAAAAAAGATGCTTGGCTCCTCTTTCAAAGTTGTTTCTTCTTAAACCTTTAGTACAAAAATTGCATTTTCTGAAGTCCACCTCTTACCACTTCTTAAAGGAAGCAACTTTGTTTATTTTTTAGGCTTGGCCATTGACCAAAGTCCAAACATGCTCCAAGGCAGTGAAAAATATCCAAACTTGGCCTGTATGTGTATCAAATTTAAAGTTGGCTGCCTGTAATAAGTCCTAGTTGATGCAAATATGCTCTCTCTGCACTGCTATCGGCTTTTCGAAGCTATAATTACAAGAGTGAATATCTTGGTAATTTGTTTTAAAAATTTTACAACTATGCACTCCTTTTGAATTTCCGCTCTTTAATTTCACGTTAAAGTGTCAGTGTGGAACTTGACACGATATATTTTGTATGGATAAACGTTGACAGAATTGAACTTTGTATGATGCAGTGATCCAACTATTCCTGTGTGACGGGATATTCCTTAATCTGAGTATGGGTTTCTGGTTTAGAGTGTATTGATGACGTGGCTTTCTGTAACTGTTATGTTTCTTAATCTCATTTTAGCAAGGGAAATAATTGTGTTAATATGATTATTCTGATCCTATTAAATTATTGCAGATTGTGCATGAGTTATTGCTGCTCCGTGACACAAATGTCAATGCACTGACAAGAGACCATAAAACAGCCCTTGACATAGCTGAAAATCTCCCTCTATCAGAAGAAAGTGCTGAAATAAAAGACTGCTTAACTCGATATGGTGCTGTCAGAGCCAATGAATTGAATCAGCCACGGGATGAACTTCGCAAAACTGTTTCAGAAATCAAAAAAAATGTCCACACTCAGCTCGAACAAGCTCGTAAAACCAACAAAAACATGAATGGCATTGCCAAAGAGCTTAGGAAGCTTCACAGAGAAGGAATTAACAATGCCACTAATTCAGTCACTGTGGTGGCTGTGCTATTTGCAACAGTTGCTTTTGCTGCAATTTTTACAGTTCCTGGAGGTGATGATGACAGCGGGATGGCTGTGATGGTGAGCAGCCCATCTTTCAAGGTTTTCTTCATTTCTAATGCTATTGCCCTTTTCACTTCTTTGGCTGTTGTGGTAGTGCAAATTACTGTAGTCAGAGGTGAAATAAAATCCGAGAGACGAGTTGTAGAGGTTATCAATAAGTTAATGTGGTTGGCTTCTGTTTGCACTACTGTGGCTTTTATTGCTTCATCTTACATTGTTGTTGGGAGGCATAATAAGTGGGCTGCAATTCTTGTCACCGTCATAGGAGGAGTCATTATGGCCGGGGTTCTTGGTACCATGACGTATTACGTGGTGAAGTCCAGAAGGATACGAAAAGTGAAGAAGAAAGAAAAGTATTCGAGGAGTGGAACTAACTCATGGCATCACTCAGATTATTCCGAGTCAGAAGTGAACCCAATTTATGCAATCTGATGCGGCCCTGGGTTGAGACCACCATCCTCTCTCCCACGCGATGGTTAATATCAATAATTTAACCTGTCAAGAATGCAATGAGACGTTTTAAGGGGTGTAATAGACAACATGTTGCAGAACTGACAGATAAGAGAAGCACACACTAAAATTGACTTTGTGGTTTCGAAGATTTTAAGGTTAATCACAACATTGTGTTGTATGAGTGACACGGGGCAGAGAAAGATCTTGTACTCTGATAGTCTGTGTGTTGTTCAGGTTATATTGTAATAATGTCAAAACTTTCACATACATTAAACTCATGTGGACTTCGTTTACATCGAACCTTTGTACTTCTACTAATTTGGTTGAACGTGGTGGCCATTCTCATGTACATCTATTATATTTTTGCTAAGTGATTTCTGTATGTCAAGTGCTAATGATAATTCTGAATTAATCTGCAAAATTTAATTCTAAACATGCTTAATAATGGACATAAGTTTGAGTGACGACCCAATTTCGACGGAACTATTGAAATTTTGAAGAATTTTGTTGTGATTTATACTGCAGTATCCTATTCTATCTGAATTTATGGTCCTAGTGTATAATGCATACTATAATTCTCTCAAGGCAACCAGTGTCTTGGTCACTTCCCTGCGAAAAATAAATTTGTTCACGTTGCCACACACAATGGTAGAGGTGTAGAGTGGATTGGGCACACCAAACCTGAGTTAGGAGGCCATGCTGGTTTGCGGCATGAGGGCTTTTTTCTTTATTGAACAAAATGACTACTTTTTTGGCTTTTGGCCCACGCAATAATGACAACAAGAACTGGAGAAATGATTATTAAACAATGTATTGGCTAGTCTCTTAGCTATCAATTTTCGAATGTGATTGGTCTTTGATAGTTCTTGATAAGAGCATACCTATAATCTTGAACTTTTACGCTGAGTTAAATTTGAATCAGCTAGTCTGTTGAGTTTATTGCTACACCTACTCAAATGACGGGATTTGTATGAATGAATGTTATTGAATTATTTCTCTCTCCTCCTGTTCATCAGTTTTTCATAATTTAGTTCAAACAAATTTCAAAATGGCTGTAGTGAAGTGCCTGCACATTTTGAGTGAAGTCCAGATATCAGTTCCTGAGTGTTCGCTTTCAAGCATATGCAAATGCATTGAACCAACTTTATGTGATTATTCTTTTAATTTGAAAGTCTGGACCATGGCCTAAATGTATAGGAATTGAATCAGTAAAAAAGAGGGTCAATCCAAAAGTGCCCAAACACGACTACAAACTAATGGGCACATCACATGGTCCTGCAATGAAAACCATGTCTTGTGTACAAACTAACAACTTTCACCTACCATATCTTCCATTTTGTGTCACCGTGATAAGAACACACATACAAATGGCCTTGTAATTTATGTTAAGGGAGTTTTTATGATTTGTAAAAGACACTAAAAGATGGATAAGGCATTCAAAAATACTGCATTGTGCTTCTATGCTTTCATTTTTTTCAACTGGAAGATCAAAGACCAAATAGCCATATAGATGAAATTTGACTCCGAGGAAGAAAAACAGAAATTTTCTTTTCTTGATATCATTCTCTCAAGCAGATACTGTGGATAACGTCATGATGTACAAAGATTCAGGGTGTGGTGCCAAAAAAAATTAGGTGAATAGAACGCTGGCTGGTTCCTTGTATTTCTCCTAACTTTCGCAATACTGAATGCCCCACAACGGTCTGGTCCTGTATATTGCCCCAGATGTTCTTATATCCTTTTTCAGGTTGCAAAGTACATGCACCAATCACAATGATTGTTTGAAGCTTAAATTGTCGTATAAATGGTGAAAACGAACAAGATGACTTAATTCAACGATTGCATAGCTATTAAGATCGTCTCCTCGTTTCCTTGTTCAGTTGTTCTAGAAACTATGAACTCAATATGATTGATATTATAGAAATAATCTCAGACAATCAGGAAAGTATAAGGGTGAATATTATGGAAATCGTTTGAACTTCATAATTTTAAGCTATATATAACTCAGTCAACTGTGTTATAGTAAGAAAATGTACTAGAGGAGGATCTTAATTTGTAAAAAGATAGTTCTGCAAAGCTAAAATATTTTTTTCCTTTGTGCTAAGAAGTTATCTTCACTAGCAAACCGCCAAATATTATTTTGAGATGGTAATGAAATTGAAGTGACCTATAAATCTAGGATAGCTTATGAATTCTGGAATGTTTGGTTTTTGGTACAGTATGGGATTGGGTAGTAAAATAAACTAGATTTTATTTTCTTTTCATCCTTAATACTGTTTAGTGTTGTTCAGTGTACCTTATAAAACATGACATTAGTGGATATGCCATTAGTCACTTATCTAAACATGCTTTCACATCTTCAACTCGAAATGAGATGGTTCGTGGGAACAGATCTAGTGGAGACGTGGGACCTATAGCTTAGAAGATCAGAGCACGTGAATATGAACTACGGTGTCGGAGGTTCAATTCACTCGTCAACCACAACTGGCCAAAAATAGAAGTACCTCGTGATCGGTTTTCATCCTAAATTTGGCCTCGTAAGTTTCTTGAAACAGATGAGGGTGTTTAATTGTGCGGGAAGAAAATTATTTTAAAATGCTTAAGATCGAATTGTACTTCAGTGAAGTATTAATATTTTGTTTGCTGATATTTTTCTTAGTGTCCAAGAATCAGGATAGCATAAATGATCTTTGAAACTTTGTTGTGTCACTATCAGCATTTAGGTATACATGCCCCAGACGTGGTGATTTTTCTGCATATGAAATTATGTGACATGTTTTGATTCAAAAAAATGATTTGCACAAGCTATATGAGATGCTCGGACAGTGTGATCACAGATGCATTGGGGAAAGATCAATCCAACACTGTTAATCAATGAACATGAAGTGAAGTTTCACTTTGTTAACTAACTTTTTGTTCCGACTCATACACTTGAATTCAATTTTTATTCAGTTATGTCATTGTGTCCACCTCAATTACACTGACGGAAAATCTAACGTGACAGGCAGAAAAGCAAAGGTGCGCTTGGAAAACTATTAGTCAGTCACTAACTTGTGCCCTTGTAATTCAATGTATACAAATGCTTCTGTTATAAGAGAGTGAAATTCACAGATTCTAGCTGGTTTTCAGTCAAGAAATAGTTGAAATGCTATTTGATCTTCTTGGCCTGGTCTTTTAACCATTCAATGATTTGAAATGTGGAGAAGGCCTGAAAATTACTTACTTTAGTTGCAGGGAAGGACATTGTCAAAATTTGAGTGCAAAAAAATACCTAAAACTTACTGTATTCATTGAAGTACAGACAAGAAAGGTTAAAAAAATCTTTATCTTTTGACTTATTTTCATAATCTTAAAACTTTGTTAATCTTGTTTTCTTTTACTTCCCTTTTCTTATTTTTGGCTAGTTTCAAGGTTAGTATCAAAAGAAAAGCTTCTTTCTGCTTTGCAGCGGTGACAATCTTTTTAGAAAATTAAAAAATCATACAAAATAGACCACGTATTATGAAAATGTTGTCTTTGGACTCTTATTTAGCAGAGGCTTCACTACACTCGTGCAGCAGTGGACTTGACACATTGTAGCTTATGCTTTTTTCATAAATTTTCGAATTCTTCTTCTTGGTACTTTGTTATGTGCAGATGTGGTGCTTGGTTTTGGGTCTTAGGTAGAAGTCGAATCATGATAAAGAAGGTTTGATAGTTGTATAATTCGCAAGTGGACAGTCGTATATTTGCAAAGTAGATGGAGTGGTGATGAAGCGCCCATTTTGCGCCAACATATATCCAATGGCATAGTGTGAGCATAATACTGAACTTCTCATTCTGATCCAGAAACCGAGGGACTGGGGCTGACAGCCTGACAGCAAACTCTCATAACGCATGCCTATATAAATTTTGTCTATACACTAGTAGACCAAGAAACTTATCCTAATTGAAAACTAAGAGAAATTTAGCTAAAATGGACTTTTTTTATTTTTAATTTCTTTCCCATGGAAATTGAAAAAAAATAAAATTAAATGCTTCAAACATCTGGTCTCTGTTGATTCTTGGCAACAGGGATTCCAGGGAATGAAGAAAATCCATATGTATTTCTTGAACCAAAGAGCAGTTGGGACTTTTTGCAGTGAGCAATGGCTGCCTCAATTGAACCCTCAATTTCTGTTGCACTGCTACTCCTCTTGAGGAAGTGAAACTCATGAAAAGCAGTCGAATTAAACAAGCAAGAGGAGGATAAAGAAGAAGCAACAGATGAAGAATTAGATGAAGATAAATTTGAGCCCTTATTGTTTATTGCTCCTGAGAATGAGGACCTCCTATGTACATTATTATCCTCATGAATCCCCTCTTTCTCCATGCTCTTCATTTTAGTGGTTGTAGCTAGGCTTGGATATGCTGCAGCTCCTTCAATATGCCCAAATGGCTTCTTATTTTTGAACAAATTTTCAGGTTCTACATTGCAGGCTGCAGCCTTGGCACAGGAAGACTCATCAGATTTACTAAACAAAGATTTCAGATATGCCTTTAACTTAGGACCAACTATAGAATTCTTAACCAACATAAGCTTCTTGGACCAAGATTTCTTTGGATGATTACTGTGGATAAAACTGTTCAATTCATTAGACCATTCGAAGAAATGCTCGTCCGTGTTCAGTTCACAACTCACCCTGCAGGACTCTGATGGAGATGTAACGTTGCCTGATTCTTCTAGTGAGGTGCTGGAAGGTGCCTTCTCTTCTTCAAAAGCCTCTTTTGCGTTTGAGCTTTGGAATTGGAGTGGTAGTTTTTGGAGCATTTGCAGACGAGGAGAAAGATGGAGAGGCAAAAGTTTTCCTTTATAGAAGAGTTCATCAGCTGGTGAATTTGTAGTTTCTTTGGAAATGAAACACAATGGAAACTCAAACTCTCTGTTCTGTGGTGGAGAATAGTTTGTTGAATAAGAAATCAAGTCCATATCTATGTACTCTTCATCTGAAGAATCATATGATGGAAGAATTGAGGCCATTGATGCTTATGGGGAACACAACTTGGTGAAGGTGGATGAAAGGCAGAGCATCCCTTAAGGAGAGATAGTTCCAAGTGTAAGGAAAAAAGTGTCAGGTTTACAAATAATGATATCCAGTAAAAATATTTCCTACAGAAAATTTTGCATGGTGGTGAAATACTTTTTTTATTTTTTTTTCAATATACATAGATACATACTAGACACAAACAAAATATTCAAAATTATCTACTTTTACATGTGTTATATAGGTATATAAATTGAGCCACCCGACAAATGATGGTCCACGAGTTACACATGGCCTGGAGAAAAGTCAGCTTAGAGTTAAAATTTTATTTAAGCTTGCCTCAAGTTTCTCAACTTTAACAGCAATCTTCTACTTCTAGGACGGTCTTCCCTATTTTCTGGGAACTGCTCACTTCGTATATTTCGACTCTAATAATTGAAAAAGGATATTTCCTTGCCCTGTATTAAGAATGAAAACTTGTAGAAGAAAGGCAATCAATTAGAATCGCCATCTTTATCTCTATCCACAAAAGTGACGATGAGGCACTTGGTATTTCTTTAGATACATTTATTGCAAGAGGTGGGTTTGCTAAATACGTGTTTGCGTTAGAGTAACGGGAATGTTGATAACTTAGGTTTTTTTTTTTTTTTTGTTGAAAAAAAATGAATTGAGTGGCCGACTTTGGCATAATTTTTTAGTAAGACTCGTTTGTTTATTTTGGAAGATTAAGACTGATTTGTGTTCTCCTCCGTGAGAACATCGAAACCATATAATTACTTATTAAAAATGATACTCGAGTAAATGAGAAATTTGAACTTAAAATGATGAATTGGAAGATGTTTTGTGTTGAAGGAAAACTAGTTTAAAATTATCGCATAAGAAGATAGATAAAGTCAATACCACTTTAAATATGATTACATTTTAGAATGATGTAATCATGTGTAGCTAGCTAGATGCTCTCTCCATGTCGTGTGTAGGGGGTGCAAATCACGGATCGAAACTGGCTTCGAACCTTGAACTTTTGTGCTGGTGTGATCTATGTACACGAATGTCGGATTGAATTGACAATAAATTGGCCTTTAAGAGGGTTAAAAACCTTCCAAATTCTTTCAACTCCTGAAACTCATGTGATTATGTCTGTATTAATGGAGAGATTAATAATCGGATTAATGGTGGTTAATGGCATAACTCCTGACATGTTAATTATCCATTACAGTCTATTTTAGTCATTTTCCTCCTTTGCATATACACAAAAATTTCTATTCTTGCATAAAATTGTCTCATGTCTGCATACATAATTTACATTTTTTTGTCAAGGATAGTGTCCGATTCTAAGTTTACTGGAATGGCATCACAGTGCTCAAACTCTACCGATTTTCATTGTACCTGAGAAATAGACGCTCGAACTAAACATGAAGCACCTACGGTGAGGGAACGAATCTATTTTAAGGAAACTGTATTTAAAAATGCCTCAGTTTGAAAGTTCATTCGCTCTTTTATTATTTCTTACAATTTTAGATTACTTGTTCTGTTTTTAATGTAATTAATAAAATTATTTTAATCAGCAATATTTTGGCTAACATTTTCTTCACGTAAATGACAAGGTCGAAGCTGAAAACTTTCTTAGTAATAACTTACCATGCAAAGATTCTATCAGGATACGACATTTCACTTGAGTCCAAAAACAAATTCGTTTTTCCTAATTCGGATCCCGAATTAATTCCTTTTTTAGTATTTTGTTGGCTAATATGAAAAAACAAGCTCTGTTACTGCTGCATCAGATTGGACACATGAATTTTCACCTGACAAACTTAAAAGGTGAGCACTATGACCTCTCCTCTTTTCACGCTGGCTTATTATTTAAAAAAAAAAAAAAGGATGAATCGCATCCTTGATGGCCTCCACCTGCTCTGCCCTGGACTTTGGTGAAGGAGGTAAATCGCAAATTATGCCTCCAAGGATACAGGGTGGAAGACTACTTGTACACTTGCACTTACCAAATGGTCAAATCCATATTTCAATATTCGAACCCTTGACGTTGCAGCCTCAAACAAAGCTGGAGTTTTTCCACCTTCCCCTTTTACCACTTGTTTTAAATAGTGATATGATATGAAATATGTGGTTAAAAAGTAAAGAAAAATTATTGATGTGATGAAAAATATTATTTTAGTGAAGAATGTGTGGTTGAAAATTTTGAAAGATTGTATTTTGAAAGAATGTATGTCAAACGGTGACAAATACACAAATTTATAGTACTTCATTAAAGGGAAAAAACAATGTTTATTAGCCATTATAAATATTAGTTTTTTTTTCCCCTCTCTACTGAAGAAGAAAACTATTAAGTTTTCCTCGCATCTCTGTCTAATAATCCCACGGTGTGGACTATGAGTCCCACTAATTCCTATATAAGGAATAAGGTAGAGAATTAGGGCAACAAAATACAAATATGAATGTCCGATTTATTTGTATAATTAAGCTTTATAAAATCTACCATTTTACTTCTAAACTGACAACCTTAAAAAGGGAAGACAAAGATATACAAAGCAAACAAAATAGTATCAAAAATGCTAAACGGACAGGGTCGATGACCGACCAGAAAATATGGCGCTACCTTGACCCTTGATTTTTACTGTTAAAAATCAGATTAAGGGCCGAAATGAAGCCACCACAACCCCCTGTTTTTGGATCGATCACCGACCCTATCACTATAGCGCATCTCAAATAGTATACCCTTAGCCTTGTATCTACAAAAATGACACTATATTCTACATTTGGAACTTGTTCGTAGGCCTTGGCTTATGGGAAGGTCCGTGCAGATCTCAATTGTTGATCTATTGATAACTTCATAATATCATTGAGAGTAAATAACTGAGTTATAAAAAAGATTAATGTACAAGACAATATCAATCTCCAAAGGTTGGTCGAACAAATCATGATGTCTAGGGTTATAAACTACTTATCCTATGATTCGAGCACATCTTTTCTACACCACATAATTGCTTGGCTCTAGTCCAAGGCTCAACTCAAGTAGTAAGAGTGAAGCCTTACCGAATAAATGATTTGGGTTCGAGCATCCTTTTCGAATGACGAACGAAATCATTTAAACCCCTTCTGAAAAAAAAAAAAAAAGAACATTATTTTTTGGCTCTTCGTCAAGATATAAATGATATTTTGATCTTAACAACCTAGTGCACAGTACAACATTATTTTTTGGCTCTTCGTCAAGATAAAATTTAAGTTTTATTTAGTTTACTTTTGTCTTCAATAATCAATGTCCCTTTCACGTGACAATTTAAGCTTGTCATTTTAGTTTAATCTTGAACATGATTTTTCACACGTGTTCATAAATAGTGAACGATGAGCCTTAAATTCAATATCTTTTGTTACCTATAGCATGTAAAAAATATTTAAAAAATGAATGAAATTACTTACTCAAGGAACTAGAATATACAAAGTAAGAAAAAATTAAAGTACAACTTGTACATTCAAGATCTTAATGTAGAGAACAAAATTGAAAAAACAAAAAGGAAATATAGAAAATGAGGCAAGAATCGCAAGATCATAATGTAGTGAAGAAGTTTCAGCGTATTTTTCGACTCGCAGTCCATTCAGTGTAATTCTAGTATTGATAATTTCGTTTTAATTGTTAATAATTATAATAGAACACTTCTAAAGTTTGTTGATGTTGGCCTTCAATTGACTGTTTCTATCTTTATTTATTATTAAAAAACAATTTTCTTAGCTCCACAAATGCAAAAAAGAATAAGAAAAGTTTACTTAGTCTAGAAGCAGGGAATATAATGTAGGGTGAAAAACTAATCTAGAATTCATGTATGTACTCAAAATTACTCGTCGATGCAGAATGTCACATTCTTCTTTTCCGTCACCATGTAGTCCGAACACACCACAAGTCCTTTATTTCATCTCGAAAGTTTGGTCCCACTTTAATTTGATGGCTTTTAAAGTGGTCGATAATTCCTAAGTGAAACTTCATTGCCACAAGTCCTTATCCATATTTTGTAACGAAATTAAGGGAGATATGCATTTGGTTTTCAAAATGGTCCCTAACGTTTCAGGATCTTGTAGATTGGTCCCTAAACTTTCAGTTTGTTGCAAACTATCACTTGACGTATCGTTTAGTGCAAATCCGATCCCTATACTTTCTAGATGACACAAACTGATCATTGAATTCTACTCCATTGTAATATGAGATTGATAAGAATGTCAAACAGCAGCAAACTTGACCCTTTATATTGTCTTATATTAGACAAAATGGGCAATTCAATCCGAGTGAAAAACTTTCTTTGCAGTTGAATTATTATGGTGCGTACATGGAATTAGTCAATCACGTAATTCATCTAAGCAAGACCGTTTGATTTGAATTAAGATAGTTTTAATTATTTATTGGTGAGATACAATTAACATTATGTCGAGACCAAATCTTTATATTGTCAGGCGAAAAAATTTGTTTGTACTTATGTTTTTAATATTTTTGAACACAAAATTAAACCAGAGTACTTGAATCACATTGTATACAAAGGAGGAGGATGATGTACCCATGATTTATAAGAAGAAAGAAGTAGTGACATGTCTGACTGATTAAAAAAAGGAAGAATTAATCTACTTGTACAGTGGGGTTGACATAATGCGAGTGGGGGTGGGGCCCGCGATACTGTAGCATGGACCCTACCTCACTCATATTATGTTATTCTTTATGTCACCCCCAATGTACCCCTATCATTTCTCAGAAAGGAAATAATGGCCATTTAACAAAAGCTTATTTGTTTCCTTTGAAATTGTGACTATTATTATCGAAAAAAAAAAAAAAAAACTATGATCTACTAAAAATGGGCATTCGAAAAGAGAGTCCATTGCTTAAATTTCTTTTCTTCAAACTAATAATTGTAGCACCTTTTTAAATAAGTTCATCGGTTGAGTCAAGCCACAATCATTAACTAAGATAAATATTAAGCGTTTATTTGAATTTTTTTTTTCTCTTGAACACATCTTTAATTACACATTTATCAATAAAATAATTTTACAAGTAAATCAATAACTTTTTCTTACTTTTTAATCATACATATTCAAAAAAAAAAAATTTATTTTTCACATCAAATAATCTCCCCCAAATAGTAAAAGTTGAATTTTGTTCCTTCAATCTATTGTACTGCCAGATAGTCTTAGTATTGCAAATCGCGTTCACTCTTGTGAAAGGGGGTCTAGGTGTGGATTTTCATTACTTAGGGTATGTTTGAGACACATTATTTTGGAAGAATGTATTTTGGAATAGTAGATTGATAGAGAATGTGTGATTGAAAAAGAATGAAAAATCATTGATGTGATGAAAAATGTGCAGTTGAAAACGAGTAGAAGAATGAAAATTTGAATGTGACTCAAACATGAGCTTAGATGGTTGGCCAAACTTCGTTTCTGTTTGACCATATTAAAATTATAATTCATTTTTCTCTTTTTTCTTATCAATCACACGTTTGTCAATAAAATAATATTATACATGATTTCAAAAAAAAATTCTTTCTTTTTAATTACACATTCTCTAAAAAAAAAAGTATTATTTCAATCATTAAAATTTTGAATAATGAGGGCTTAAACGGGGGCTTCATTTTCCCTGTTTTTAATTCTCATTTTTCTGGTCAGCGGACAACTCAACTCCTTGCTTAGGAACCAAGAAGGGCAATTTCGGTATAAAATAAAGTCCTAAACGTGAAATTCACCGCAAATACAGATCCGATCTCCGTTTTGATCCAATCCACTGATCGTTGCCAGGCTCCGCTGCCGCCGCATCGTCACCACTTCTAACCCCATGAAAATGACCAAATTCCACTTCCTCGTCCTTCTCCTCTTCGCCACCCTCCTCCACCCCACCTCTGCCGAGATCAAGAATCTCAAGATCACATCCGACTCACGGCCTATGATCCTCTTCGAGAGATTCGGTTTTACACACACTGGCCAAGCCACCATTTCCGTCTCCTCCGTTTCCGTCATTTCCTCTCTTTCCTCGCCGGAACCCTCCCGACTTGGATTCTTTCTTCTCTCCGAAGAATCCCTTATTCAGGTCCTTGTTGAACTCCAGCAGAACCCTTCTTTCTGCGTTCTCAGTTCCAAGTACATTCATCTTCTCTTCACCTTCCAAGACCTGTCCCCGCCGCCTCAGTCCTCCTTCGACCACACTTACCCCATTACCTCCCCCAATGAATACTCACTTTTCTTTGCCAATTGTGCCCCCGAATCCACTGTTTCCATGGACGTTCACACTGAGCTTTACAATCTTGACGGCCGAGGCCGAGTCAAGGATTTTCTATCTGCTGGGCTAACTCAATTGCCGACCATGTATTCCTTCTTTTCATTACTTTATTTTGCTTTCTTTGCTTTCTGGGTTTACTTTTGTTTGCAGAACAAAAAATCAGTTCACCGAATCCATGCTCTTATGGGGGCTTTGGTGATTATTAAGGCCTTGAATTTGCTCAGTGCCGCAGAGGATAAGCATTATGTGAAAGTTACTGGCACCCCACATGGGTGGGACATTTTGTTTTACATATTTCAGTTTATTAGGGTGGTGCTGTTGTTTACCGTTATCGTTTTGATTGGTACTGGGTGGTCGTTCTTGAAGCCCTTCTTGCAGGAGAAGGAGAAGAAGGTGTTGATGATTGTGATTCCGTTACAGGTGTTGGCAAATGTAGCCTCCATTGTGATTGGCGAGACAGGCCCATTTATCAAAGATTGGGTGACTTGGAATCAATTGTTTCTGTTGGTGGATATTATATGTTGCTGTGCAATTATTTTCCCAATTGTGTGGTCAATTAGGTCATTGAAGGAGACCTCAAAGACTGATGGGAAGGCTGCAAGGAACTTGGCGAAATTGACCCTTTTTAGGCAATTTTACGTTGTAGTGATTGGGTACTTGTACTTCACGAGGATTGTGGTGTTTGCGCTCAGGACTATTGCTGCCTACAAGTACCAGTGGGTGGCGAATGCAACCGAGGAGTGTGCAAGTCTCGCCTTTTATGCTGTGATCTTTTACATGTTTCGGCCAGTTGAGAAGAATGAATACTTTGTGCTTGATGACGAGGAGGAAGAGGCAGCAGAGATGGCTCTTCGGGAAGAAGAGTTTGAGCTTTGAAATCTGAGATATAAATGGTACTCCTTTTTTGCAATTATACCGGCCTCACATTTTCAATTGCGAGTTGTGTTGTGAAGTTATTAGTAGATTTGCCCAAAAAAGTTACAATTTGTGTATCTTTTTGCCACTTTCTTTTGCCTTTAAAATGTCTATTTGAATAGCTTCGAATTTTATTTGACAGTTGCTTTTGCATTTGGATAATGGAAATTTATGTCATTTCGCGTCCTTCATTGTTTCTTTTCGCTTTCTTTATGCGTGTTTGAGAATTTCTAGTCTTTGAAGATTGTTACTTTTCTACAGGTTCTGTTCTTAAATGCATTTGTTCATTTATCACTTATACGGCTGATCATTCAGTTTTGTTAATAATCCTGGTTGCCTCAATTAGTCAGATGTGTTCTGCTTTTCATGCCAATTCTGTCTGTGCCAATTAATTCTATGCAACCGAGACCATAGTTACTTTATAAGGGCTGTTTATGATTCTTTTTGTTTATAAAATGCGCTTCTATATGCACTCTTTTGTTTCGATATCACAAAATGACATTATTGCAAATATAATGTCTATGTAATTCGAAAATAATATAAACAATATTTCATTAGTTCATGAAATGACATTATTTCAAATCTGAAGTTTTGTGTATTGGATTCGGATTATGGGAATGAAATCCTAGACCAACGTAATTTTCACACAAGAAATCCTGAAAATGCATCTACTAGTCGAATGGTTGTATTCTGAATCTAATTAAAATAAATACAATCCGAATATAACTGTGATGACATCTTGGCAACTACTGATTATGCTTATAAGATTCATGGATCCAGATTATGATGGCAAAGTAAGTGTGGGGGAGAGAATTATCTATGAAATGGGTTTCCTTCATATCATGTTGACACACTTCATTACACTAATCCTTAGTTTATTGTAGACGTTCTGAGCTTGAATCAAAATTCAACTCAATAAGGCATTATCCCATACTTCTCCGAGATGTGCTTTCTCCATAAAAATGCCTCTCCTTTTCGTAATGCTCGTTTACAATTTAGATGATGAGGTTTTATCTTTGCTTATTTGTTCCATCCATTCTCTTATCACATGGATTATAATAGTTGCATTCGCCATTACCAAATAATATTTCGTGATATTCCTGGAGTTTATTACCCATCACTTATATTTGATGGTGCAATATCTCCGATAAAGTGTAGGCAGTGGAATGTGAAATCTTGTTTAAATTATTCAGTAGCTAGTTTCTATGGCTGATAGATTTCTGTTTACATACCTTATTGGTTAAAGTTGACTTCTTGATGTTGGGTCATGGAAGCGTACTTAGGAGTCAGTCCTTGATGTTGCGAATGATGGCGAATTGTTTAGTAGCACTTGATTTTCTCCAAGTTCCATCTGTAGCCAAAGAAACAAACTAATTGCCTTCAATGTTAAGTCTCTATTGAACACATTGTGTTCGATAATATTTTTTAATTAACTTGCAAGCCTGAAGGATCTTATAGATGAATAATGTGGTCTGGTGCATCTTTAGTTTTTCTTCCTTTTGGGATAAGTTTGTTATCTGCTGATCTTTAGAAATGAACATGGCGATGTTAAGAGAGAGAATATGAAGCTCAATTTATGTGAGGTGATCAAAGCTAGTGGTGGCCCATATATGCAGGTGAATAGATAATTCCTAATTCATAGAAAAGGTAAAATGATGAAAAACGATAGAGGTAGATGGTACATTTGTCCCATAGTGCTGTATCTGTGATTAATGGTAGTACATATTCGTTAACATGACGAGGCTGAGAGAAGAATTAAGTTGCTCTGTTCAAATCTATCTATTTTTTGTTCAAATTTTTGGTAATCAGTATCAGGAAGAAGGATACCATGAGTCCGATTTAACTGCCAAGAATTTGTTATTTCTCTTTACATTGAACTGCGAAAGATGTTTTGCTGCTTCTATGCCCATGAAAAAGAAAGGAAAGTAAAGGAAAGAATATGATCTTAAGCTGCTCCAAAGAGTCCACTGCGGTGGCAACTGAAATCCACCCAATAATGTTACCATTGCTTAATTTTGCCGGTGATCTAAAAGATTACGGTGGTGAGAAATCCACAAGCCAATATGATCTAATGTAGTAATGTTTAAAGAGATCCCAGAGGGATGACGCAAAAGGCACGAGTTCCAGAAATTCCACAATTATGCAATGCCCCTCAGAGTTCCCAATTTAATTATTTAAAAGAGAAGAAAGGATTCTCCCTTTCTTTGACGTGTGTGATTATGCAAAACAATGAACTCCGGATGTTCATAACTCTAATCTAGCAAAGGCTAGGATTCGAAAGTACAACAGATTTCGAATATAGAGATCCAAAAGAAACATTACTGTGCCAGGACTGCATCAGGAAATCCTCACAATCTCTCTCTCCGCAATAACTTCAGCAGGTGGCCAGCCACGATTAAGCAATATCCAAGAGTTGAAAGAGTGGAGGAAAAGATGTGCATAGCTGTTACACTCTGCAGCTCATCACACATTGTCACCTGGTTCTCTGATTTGTAGTGTTGTTCTCGATAGGCTAGCTTCCAATTCATTTAACTCGTCTATGTCAAGATCATCATCATCCTCTTCCTCTGTGTTGTCATCATTATCAGGAATCTCTTCAGCATCACGTGTAGACGTGGAAGAATTTGGCCTTTCAGTGGAATAATCTTTATCGACCTGAAATAGATGGATACTCTCAGCAAATGCTACTGAAATGACTAAATTATTAACATCATAGAGGCTGTATAAAACTGTGGGAAGAAAGAAAGTAAAAATATCAACTTCCTAGATTGCAGGTCATTAAAAATGAATCTAAAGAGAATTTCTTGAATGGCCAAGGCAATAGGTCATGCCTATAAAGAGTAGAAACACTGATCTAACGCACATCTTTTTGACTTTCAGTCATCACAGATTATGTGGGCAGAACAATCAAGCATTGAAAGACTTTAGAGCCCACATAACAGGAAACACAACACATCAATGAGCATGATTACTAAGAGCAACCCATAATTTCCAAAACAACAAATAAGATATGCAATAGTATTCTTTCTAGTTCAACTTCACCCATGTCAGGGCAAGTTTTGTTTCTTCTTCTGAGATAGATCCCACAAGTCTCTATAAACACTTCTAAGATTTGGTTGGAGGAAGAAGATTTTATGGAAAATACATGAGGAGGTTTTGCAATATTTCAGAAGATATAACAGAAATGATGTGGGAGCCATGCAAGTGAGGATTTTAAACCCCTTTTCCAACCCTTGAAAAGTAGAGAAGGCAGGTGGCTCTCTCTCTGAGATTTATTAAAAGTGATTTATGTTCGACACCTCCACCTTGGTTTTCTTGCCTACAAAAATTAAGAGCCATCCTTTTCCTTCTTTATTCCGACTCCCTAATAAAGGAGAAAATCCTATCTTCTCTATCTTCTTTTGCAACTCAACTGTTGTCATCTTTCTTTCTTCCTACTTTAGTAATATAAAAAACCATCTTTCCTCCTATTCTCTTCTTGAAGTTATTCTCTGCAAATCTGCAGAATGCACCGTAGATACCAACTGGGTCCTATTTTGAAGCGATTGAATTATATGGTTGGAACACAATGTTATACCATGTGTCTTATCAATTTCAGTGCTCAGGGTCAGTAAGGTATAAGACCGAATGCAAAGACGGGGTATAAGAGTGTAACAGGGTGCATGCTCGGCACCATTGGCAATTCCAAGGGCCAATGGATATCGGCCTTTCCACCTCAAAATTTGAAAGCTACAGAGAACAAGCGGCAAAAGCATTAATACGCTGCAATCAAGTTTATCAATGACATGAGCAACAAATCGTACTTGCCTTGCTTCATGCCAAAGTTACATGGCCTGTCAGTGCTATATGGGCCAACGCTCAGGGCTATCATTGCCAGAGCTAGCACTAAGTCCAAACAAAGCCAGCATCAGACCAAACACTGCTGGCCACTTAGGAGCGTGCATTGCCACGTGTAGATTGCTCATTGTCTCATCCAATGGACTATGCTGAGCAACATGCGAATCTTAAAGAGAGAAGATATAACATAGGAATTCACTTAAACCTCCTATAGTAAACAAGGGATCCATTGTACTCTAAAATTGTCACACTTGATATATAAGTACAAAAAAAAGTGACAATTTCAGACATCTATGAGGAGGGTACCCTAGATCTAAATGGATCAAACAGTACATATGATAACTAAAAGGACCAACACAAGGTTGCAGGAACATCGCTTAACTTAGCCCCCGTTTGACACCCATTTTTTATCTCATTCTCATTTTTCTACGGTACTCATTTCTAACCACACATTCTCCAAATAAAATAATATTACACATAAACCCAAAAATTCTTCTTACTTTTTAACCACACATTCTTTACATCAGTCACTATTCAAAAACTCATTCTTCAAAAGAATGGGTGCCAAACACCCACTTAAGCTAAGAAATGGGACAAAAATTTTCTTGATCTTTTGACAAAAAAAATAAAATTGTGTTTGATTAGGTTATCAGTTAACCTCAATGAAGAGCAGCACCTGGAGTGGCTTAGCTGTCCACATTCCCTGAGGCTGACAACAATGGAACTTTTGGCATTATTATCAATATTGTTTTTCAATTAATTTATACATCTATATCACCAATTGTGACGCATCCAGGATGAGAATCTAACTCTCCTGGTTTTCTAGGCTGGCCCTTATGAAGTGCATTTGTAATTGAATTAGGCTCCCTTAAATCTCATCTTATATTCTCTCCATCCTCAGAACCACCCCCTCCCAGAAAATATTAAATAAACAAATAATATTGTGGGGAAAAAAAAAGATCAAGATTTTTTAACTTTTGTACCCGATTGTAGAATTTAATGAAATCTGCAACAAGTATTTGACAAAACTTAACAGGGCAAACAGAAAAAAGTGACCTTTTGCTGAGTATCTGGTTCTTCTTCTCTTTGGTATTTGTCATAGGCCTCAGCATCATCCACAAACAAGCTAGCGTCTGACAAGAACAATTCACGACCACTGCAATAGATAGGAAAAAAATATGAAGTGAATGCTTAATGCAGATAAAGGCACATGAGCAAAAATAGTTGAATGGAGACATGTAACTGTGTAAGCAGATAATGGATACCTCATACGGTCATTCTTAGCTCTCTCTGCCCTCAATGCAGCCAAGCCAGCTTCTCTCTCTTCCATCTTCTTCTTCTTCCATTGCATGAATAACTCCGGAGTCATAGGAGTTGTAGTAGCAACCTTCGCACGCTGGAAATAGAAAATTAAACCTGTCAGCATGATAAATTTACAGTTTTGGGGAGGCAGAAGAGAATGGAAATTGATACATGTATAATAGAAATGCAATAGAAGTAGTTCATGACATTGAAGGTCAATGCTGATTTCCAAAAGAACCTGATTTTCTATCTCTTCCTCTATGGTTATCTTTTCAGTTTCTTCCTCTATCAGAGCCTTCATCTGAGATTTTACAATATATCCAGGAGGAAGTGCATGCCTGTAGTGGCATTCTTTACCACCATTTGGGCATACCCAAAACCATCCGTACTGCTTCTTCTCTACTGCTTCCAAGAAGTATTTACATACCTGCCAAAAGAACCATAAATATGATAGAGCTGTAGCAGATTTGGTGTTTCAACTATCAAATCATGATATGTGGGTAAAATATGAAAAGGAAAGGAACAAGAAGTACGACTAAGGGAAATTTGAGAGATAGATAATGAGGGAAGGCAATGTGACAAACAGTTGATGCCCCCTAGAATTAAAAGAAAAATAGGTATGGAATTCATGCTCTTCCACTACATTCACAAAGTTATACAAGATCACCAGATTCTGGTCTAGTTTGCAACATTTTGCATTATTAGGCCTGATTTTCATTCCCTGAAATTAAACTATATAGTGTCAAAAGAAGGGTCCAATGGACGAAGAATTTTACCTTCAAAGATGTAGAAAACTAGTGATGGGAGACATATTATATAGAAGACTTTCTAATTAAATAATTATTTTAGGAAACGTGATTAGGATTTTATTTTATAGGCTTTATAATATTTTATATTATTTCTTTAACCATTTTCCAACTTACATTAGGTTACTTGCAACCTTATAATAGTGAGACTTGATTATTGATTAAACTAATATCTTCTCCCTCTAAATTCCTTCTATTCTCTTCCTTTTCTTCTCTTTTTCTTTCTTCTACAAGTCTCGTTCTTTCTCTATTGCGTTCTGCATCAACTAGACTCCGGAAAATTGTTCCTACTTAAACATGTTCAGTCACTTCTCCCTTTTCCAGTTGGGAAAAGTTTTAATGACAGCTACTTTTTGTCTATAATAGAGAAATAAAAAACCTATTATGCGTACTATAATATTTACTGTTGTTACAAGTGATGAAACTTCGTAACTTCTTGGCATCTGAACTATAGAAATAAAGCTGTTTTTACGCTTCATACATGCTAGATTCTGTGTATTATAAAGAAAATTTTGCCCATTGAATGACGGGAAAAAATTGATACATTTTCTTTTGCTTATACTCAGCCTAATTTATATGCCGGTAAAAGGAAAACAGCAAATTTTCAATACGACATGGATATAAAGTTTTATATTTTTTTTTATTATGTGCTGTTGATGCTCTAGGCTTTGACTCTCCCCATGGTTGATTAAAGGGAGACACCAAGTAATTGCTGCGCCTTCCTCTCTTCTGTCTTTTAACCTTTATCCTCCAAAATCAATCGCAGACAAAGTAATGCATTACCTTTCCTGATAAGAAACAAATTATGACTGTATTTTACTAATAGCATGTATTCTTGTATGTGATGAAAATTTTGCTTCATTTCAGTCTTGGAAAAACTAATCGACAGAATGGGAAAAAAAAATTGCAAATCTCATCTGCAGCATTTCTGGTGGTTTTGAGAAAAGCACTTTCCTCAAATATCTGAATCTATTTATTTCTCAGAAACTATTTTAGGTGATATACAAGTTTATATTGCAAAATGGATGCATATGTTACATAGATTTCCATCTATTTCGGATTATTTCTTGCTGCTTCTGCCATAACTTTTACCATGTCTATACGTAATATCTGTCAACCATGTTAAAAATCCGATATTGGAGATTCTTCCAAGAGATAAATGATCAGAAAGACACTTGAGAACTAACGATGACGATGACGATGACGATGACGATAATAATAATAATAATTATTATTATTATTATAATTATAATAATTATTATTATTGACGGTGAAGCTTAAATTCCAAAAAAAAAGTAGAACACTTGCATTCACCCCAAAGATTGTAACTGTGAAATATAAATAGTGAACTGAATGATGAAGACATACTATATCAGTAGGCTTATTCTTGTTGTATTCATTGCTCTTGGATGCGACAACCTTCTCCAGTGTCTCCTGATCCCAGTCCTCCATTGTTCCTTGTCCTTTTTTGAAGCAAAGCAATGAACACCCAAAACACAAGTCAAAATTAAAGGGAAATATCAAACTAACAAGATCAGAAACATAGGATAACTAAAGTAGGAGTTCAGCATACTAACCTTCGTCGCGCTTATCGCTATAAACATCAATCTTCTCTCCTTTCCTCTGGACACTCAAATCATGTGAGAACTTGCACTTAAAACCCTTAGCACACTGTCCCACTTTGAAAAACTCGCACACTATCGACTTCGGATCAACACCTGAATACATCAAACCGTTCTATATCAACTAACTGAGTCACCCATGCATCCCAATCACAGAATGAACAAGCACAAGAAACCCACAACATTACCAATTCTATATTTCTAGAAATTATATTTCCTTCTTACCCACAAAAAATTTAACAAATATGCACCAAAAAAATCAAAATAAGCAAAAAGAACTATAGACAAGCATTCACTACTCTGCTCAGCAGTGTATGGAAACACGATGTCAACCTCGTGTACAAACATGTGAGCTTATTCTAAGACACTTATTAAAAGTAAGTTAGAGAAATCACCAACTGGGACTTTGGGCTGACTGACAGCAACTTTAAATAATTCATTGAGCTCCTTTTCTTTTGCTTTCTCTTCCTCTTTCTTCTTCTGTAATTTTCCAGAAAATGCTAAACAGATTAATAATTACTCAATACTCAATGACTACCATATAAAGTGTATATACATCCACGTGTTTGTGAGTGGTATGAATTGGGGTCGGGGGAAAACCTTGGCATTGATTTTGCTGGGGTCAGGTTTGGGCTGGACTGATTGTTGGAGGGAGTGGACGTATTTCTGGACATTCTTGGACTTGTTCTTGTTCTTCAATCCGAATGTCTTGTCCTCTACTACCTTCTGCTTCTTTGCTAAATCCGTTTTAGATTGCTTTGGAGGCATTTTCGCTCTCTTCTTTTCTCGTGAAATAAATCTCTAATCAGAAAATCGATTGAAGAACAATTGTTCGATATAGATTATGAATTTAATCGATATAGATATCTGCGATTTATAAATATTTTGCGTTCTGCGATTGTAGGCGTTGGGGTGGCCGGATGCGGAGGAGCTCTGTGTTGGGGTGTGGTGTCGCCACGATCGGGTTTAGGTTTGGGTGCGGCAATACGAAATGTTCCGGCTTCGATAACTACGTTGTTCTGTGAAAATTACAGAATGAGCCCTTACCCCTTCTCGTACCGTAGTATAACTTACCCCGGTTTGCCTAATCATTTTTCAAAACATTATTTTCTATGGTAATCAATCTTCACCACACATTCAAATAATAAAATATTTTACACAAAAATCGATAAATTTTCTTTCAATTTTAACCGTACATTCTCCAAAAAATACTATTTATTACATCATTTTCATCACAATAATAGTTGACAAACAGGCACTTAATTTACTTTATAGGAAAAATTAAGTAAATTAATAATTGAGGGAGTCAAGCGTTTTAATAATCACTCAACTTAGGGTTACTCACCAAACTTTCACTCACTGAATTTTGTACGTTTGTACTCCATCTATCACCCTAAAAAACTTGTTACCTTCTTCATTGACGTGATTAGCGAAAATTTTACGTGACAAATTACGATAGTTAAAAAATTACAACTCAACCAAACAATTGTTTCATTACTCATCTAACTTACTCATGGTTACAGTTTACTCATCAAACTTTAAAATGCTTTACAATAGTCACTCATGTTTGAGATGTTGCACTTCATCCATCATCTGTCATATTTAGTTCCATTTATTACTAATGTATCGTACAAAAATTTCGTGTGACAAATTGCAATCATTAAAAAAATTACAATTCAATTAAATTATCAACTTGCCAAATTCATCATATGTGAAACGTGACTTCCATTGTCCTATAAATTTCTTTAAAATCCAGCAAAACGTCCTTAATTTCAGCCATAAAAAAACCAACCCCCAATTTACTTATCTTACTTACGTACAGCTAAATTGTGTAATAAGGCGAGTCAATTATTGAGAAGGATGAGAGAGGCGGTAGCATATGAAGTCATATCCCCCAATTGTACTATGTGCTCGATGCTTCTCTAATCCCAACCTTCAATTTTTGTAGGCGTATATCCTACTATTTAAGGAATGAAATGTTATCGAACTCTAGCTGAATTGAAGAACGAAGAACAATAAACATGAACACAACCCATTGGTATTCTGGCCATACACCAATCGTCAGAGTTCGATGACATTTCCTACCTCAAAGAGTTGGACATGCACCTGAGAAAATGGAAGATTGAGATGAGAGAAACGTCGAGCACATGATACAATTGGGCATATGGCTTTATAAATAGTAGCTTCTCGCATCTTTGTCAACAATCAACTGTCTTATAACACAATTTAACTATACATAGATGAGATGGGTGAATTGAGAACTATGATTTTTTAAAGCTGAAATTAGGGACACTTTATTGAGTTTTAAAGAAGTATATGTGATGGTAAAAGTCAAGTTTCACATATGACGATTTTAGTGAGTCAATGATTTGACCGAGTTGTAACTTTTTTAACTATTGTAATTTGCCACATGAAATTTCCCTATGATACATTAGCAACAAAGTGACGAAATATGGCGGATGATAGATGAAGTGCAATATTTCAAAGATGGATGATTATTGAGAAACATTTTGAAACTTGATGAGTAAACTCTAATCAACCATAAGTTGGATGAGTAATAAAACAATGATTTAGTTGAACTGTATTTTTTTAACAACCGTAACTTGCCATGTGGAATTCCCATTAGCCACGTCAGCAAACAAGATAACGGATTTTTGAAGATGAGGATGTGGTGCAAACATGCAAAGTTTAGTGAGTACTGTGAAACACTTTGAAATTTAGTGAGCAAATCATGACTATTGCATAAGTTGGGTGATATATTGAAACAACTAACTCTAATTTAGGCCTCAATTTTTTCAAAATTTATTTTCTATCATATTCTACTATAAAATAATTTTACACTTAAATTCAAAANTACACGCAAATTAAAAAAAAAATTCTTATTTTTTAATAAATATTCTAAAAAAAAAAAAAAAACTATTTCAAGACATATTTTCCTCAAAAAATGAGGCTCAAACTATTATTAGTAATTTTTTAGTAAATGGTTAATAAATTGATAGTATTTGTCAGCGTACAATTATAATTAATATTAGGTTTTGACTGAATTAAAAAATAATTATGTAATAACATTTAATTTCAAACGCATTTGTATCGGGTAAATTACCACGATTGACCCTAACTTTGACCCTTGTAGTAATCTTGTCTCAAATCCTTATAGAATTTAATCGATATAGATATCTGCAATTTATAAATATTTTGCGTTCTGCGATTGTAGGCGTTGGGGTGGCCGGATGCGGAGGAGCTCTGTGTTGGGGTGTGGTGTCGCCACGAGCGGGTTTAGGTTTGGGTGCGGCAATACGAAATGTTCCGGCTTCGATAACTACGTTGTTCTGTGAAAATTACAGAATGAGCCCTTACCCCTTCTCGTACCGTAGTATAACTTACCCCTGTTTGCCTGACCATTTTTCAAAACATTGTTTTCTACAGTAATCAATCTTCACCATACATTCAAATAATAAAATATTTTACACAAAAATCGATAAATTTTCTTTCAATTTTAATCGTACATTCTCCAAAAAATACTATTTATTACACTATTTTCATCACAATAATAATTGACAAACAGGCACTTAATTTACTTTATAGGAAAAATTAAGTAAATTAATAATTTGAGTCAAGCGTTTTAATAATCACTCAACTTAGGGTTACTCACCAAACTTTCACTCACTGAATTTTGTACGTTTGTACTCCATCTATCACCCTAAAAAACTTGTTACCTTCTTCATTGAAGTGATTAGCGAAAACTTTACGTGACAAATTACGATAGTTAAAAAATTACAACTCAACCAAACAATTGTTTCATTACTCATCTAACTTACTCATGGTTACAGTTTACTCATCAAACTTTAAAATGCTTTTCAATAGTCACTCATGTTTGAGATGTTGCACTTCATCCATCATCTGTCATATTTAGTTCCATTTATTACTAATGTATCGTACAAAAATTTCGTGTGACAAATTACAATCATTAAAAAAATTACAATTCAATTAAATTATCAACTCGCCAAATTCATCATATTTGAAACGTGACTTCCATTGTCCTATAAATTTCTTTAAAATCCAGTAAAACGTCCTTAATTTCAGCCATAAAAAAACCAACCCCCAATTTTTAGTAATCTTGTCTCAAATCCTTATTTTTGGTAATATTTTTACTGTCAATCTTTGAATAATTAGTGCATTTCGTCCCATGAAATTTTTTACCGTTTTCTTCAAACGACAAGCTTCGTTGTCTTTAATCATACAAAACTAAAAGACAAGAGTGAACAATAAAGTAAAATTAAATTCATCTTCTACCTCCCAAACAATTGCGACAATAACAGAGGAGGAGGTGGCATCGCCAACTTGCAGTTATTTTCAACATTATAACTTTTTCACATGTCGTAACTTATCTGACCCATCGAAATGAGTCAAATTTAATGGTGCAATCTAATACTTCTTGTGATAATTGAAAGTGGCTACCATATATTTTATGACTAGTTTTTCATTCGAAACTATACGTCTGCGGTTCTTCCTCATTTCTCCATCATCTTGAGTTATTCAAATGTCTAATCCACTTAGTTTCCGCCTTTGTGATCTACTTTTCATTGAAACATGGTCTATGTTGCTTGTAGAAGCTATTAGGATTACAATTTGAATTATGCTTAATGTACATAAAAAGTGTACATAAGGGCGTCTTTTCCCTCACATGGGGTGAGACTCGGAATGGGTCCCACCCCATGTGATGTTCCAAATGGGTCCCACCTCATGTGAGGAAAATGACACCCTTATATACACCAAACAAGTTTTACAATTTTGCAAAAATTAAAAGCCTAATTGAAAATATGAACGGTTCAAAATTTGATCAAAACTTTGCCAAACTTCATCAAATTTTTGAATTAGACCTTAATACTGCAAATGAGCAATCATAATAACTTATACAAGTCATATAAAATAAGCTTCAAGGGAAAATTGCTCAAAAAGGCTGTATGTGCAAGAACAGAGCCAAAAACTCGAAATCCATCGAACTTGGAATGAATGAGTACCTATGTTAAAATCAAGGATATTATGATGTCATATTCATATTATGTGTGAAAAACTAAAGTGGGTTGGTTTTTAAAAATCTCAAAATGGTGAAGAAACGAGGAAGAATCATGTAATCAAGTTTTGATTAAAAAAACGTATCAACATATTTATTCGGACAATTTCCTATGGTTAATCGAAAAATAGATTTTACTTAGATTTATCTCATTATATCGAATCTGATAAAGTTTGAATGTGAAAATTTTTACGATCGAAAAATGATGCCAATTGATAGTGATAATGACGATGCACCTCCACTGCAATTGTAGCAATTTTTCGGGTGAGGTAGAAGATGAGTTTGATTTCTCTTTTTATTTTCATTCTTGTTTTATTTGTTTTGAATTTAAATATAAGGGCAAAATTATTCTTTCACTAACATTTTAGCTTTTATAATTAAAGAGAAGTGTAAAAGTATAATTTAAGGAGAACCAGCTAATTATTTAGAAGTTGAGGATATAGATCTTATAAGAAGCCTGTTTGACAGAAATTAAAATTCACATTTTAATCTAAGTCGAAGTTATTGACGTTGAAAAGTGTATGTACCAATTCTAGTCAACTTTGAATGTAAATAAGGATTTTTATTGATGATCACTTACAAATTACAAGAGTTTTTATCAAATAAGATATTTGAAATATGAATCTGTGTTTTTTTCATAAGGATACTGTGCTCCTTTTTATAGGAAAAGAAGAGTCAGTATCTTTCATATTCTTGTATTGTCAATCAAAAGTACCGACCTAAAATAGTACATTAATGACATATTCCTATTGGTTACTGAGGTCGGCTCCATCAGGCTATTATGAAACCGTCCTTTAAATGGGATGAAATATGAATCTGTGTTTTTTTCCTAAGGATACCGTGCTCCTTTTTATAGGAAAAGAAGAGTCAGTATCTTTCATATTCTTGTATTGTCAATCAAAAGTACCGACCTAAAATAGTACATTAATGACATATTCCTATTGGTTACTAAGGTCGGCTCCATCAGGCTATTATGAAACCGTCCTTTAAATGGGTTCTCAACAATTAGCGAAGGAAAAATTAGGTCCAGTATCCTTTTTTTAGGTATTTTTTATTAATACCCTTAAACTCTAATTAAACATTTTAATGAAGTATTAATTACGTTCAATTGTGACTTTTTCATATAAAAGTGACATCATATCACTTTTTCATAGAAAAGTGATATAATTCACATTCTCTTTTTGTCAAACACCTTGTGCGCATCAATGATTTAATTGATTTAAAATTTTCTTTTTCATGTGTATTACCATAAAACGGGGCATGAATTGATATGTTCAAAATTCCAAAAATGCATACGTATGCATCCAATTAATTGCTTCAAGGATATAGTGTGGCTTTTTTGAGAAAAGTGACAGAATGTCACTTTTTNCACTTTTTTTGAAAAAAGTAGAAAAAGTGACAGAATTCATATTATCATTTTGTCAAACATACATGCATAAAAAATTTAACGAATTCAAAGTTATTTTTTCAAACATGTTTCCAAACACAATAACAAAATCATCAAAAAGAAACTTTATAAATGTTAATTATTTACATTATAATGTTTAAATTAAATCTAATTATGAAATCTAAATAAAAGTGAGATAGACGGCTGAAAATTGGGGAACTAATTGAAGAAGGAGTCAAAACATAAAAAAAAAAAAAACCTGAAATTGACAATCTCGATTTTTTCCAAAACTTTCAATTATGAAATAATCTTGATTTTCTTCTAGAACTTCGAATAATGAACAAATTTGTGGATGATTTCCTCTTTCTCCTTCTAATTTTCCCTTTTGTCCAATTAGGAGGCTTGTTTACGTTCATGCAAGAATATTCTCTGTTTAAGCGTATAAAATACGCCAAAGTTTCCTTAATTATAGGATATTTGTGTAAGTAGCCTATTAATGAACCAGTGATTGGACGAAACTACATCATATGATTGGTGGAATATGTGGGCGCTGACATTAGTCCTGAATATAATTAATCGATTGGATGTTTTAATAGTGTGTAAGGAATCTATAATCATTATATTTCCTCAAATCAAGGCGGTCGAAAATACGAGTTGACTTTATACATCCAACCTTAATTTAGCATAAGCTGAGTGCACTTAACAAACACATTTAATTAGGTCGCATGTTGGATATCAACAGAAGTCAACAAATAATTTTAATTATATATTTCATTAACTTTTATCAAAATTTGTTTAAATTTTGATTTAAACCCCTATCAAACAAGAGCAAAGTAAAGATTAGGGACACGATTGCAACGAGGTTCAGGTTGGAGACGGGAGAGAATTCAAGTCTCTGATCGGATGGATTAATAGGTATTTTTAACGAGGTCACCCAATTTTGACTGAATGTCTAATTTGGATCACTTAACTATAATTCATATCAATTGAAGCACTAAACTTCAATTTTACTTTAATACAAGTATAAATTGATAAATTTGTTATTCCCATTTCCCAATCTCAATTGCTTTCAACCCTCATACTTTGCGAATCGCATATATTATTTTCCCCAAATTTTAAATTTCAAAATATCCCATCTTTCTCGCGTTTTTGAACTAAAATCGCGTGACACGATCGCCTGAGTACTGCATAGTCGTGCCTCTCGCACGTCGATCCATTCGCCAGGCAAACACCGATGCACGTGCACCAAGCGATGTCGCGTTAAACGCCCGCCTTTCAAATTCAATCATCGCTCAGAATCTCAGACAGAGCCACTTATAAAATTGCTTTTGCAATTTCCAACTGAAAACGGTTATCCTGGAAAATGGGAGATCCATTATCGATCCTCGCCTCCTCCACCGTCGTACCCTCCGCCGCAGCCGCCTCTCCACGCCGCCGACACCACCACCACCACCACCACCACCACCGTCCTTCTTCTTCCTCCGTCGCCACCACTACTACCACCAAACCCAAGCCTAAGCACACGTCTAAGCCATTTACTACTACATCTCCACTTCTATCCAATGTCCGGGGGGACAATCGAGAGAACCCGAGGTACTATGCTGAACTAGCATCGAAGCTGGCAGAGGATGGGAGGTTCGAAGACTTCTTAATGATAGCAGAGATCGTGGTGGTTTCGGGGTTGAAAGGAAAAGAATTTTTGAGTCTGCTTAATGCGAAGGCTGTTTCGAGCGGCATCACGAGAATGCTTGATGATGGAAAGGTCAAGAGTGTTGTGGAGGTGATTTTGAGTGGTTTTATGAAGCTCGCGATTGATCCGATTCAGCTCTTCGATGGAGCTGCAATGGAGGCGCTGAAGAAAGAGTGTTACCGGGTAATGAAATTCGGTGAAGTCGAGCAAACTGTGAGCTTATTGGATACGCTTCATGGTAAATTCTAATAATACTACTATCTAGGGATTTGTTTCTTCGGCAGGAACTGAATTCCCTAAATATCAGAACCTCTCAGGCATTTACTCGATAGAAATTGAATTTCTCTGCTAACAGAAAATTAACTTCTGTTTTTTAAATATGAATCTTTTTTTTTTCCAAACTGTCACGTATTTTTCTACTAATATTTTACAAGCATTATTGGTAGATTTAATACGAACATTCGAACTTCATTTCCTGAGCATCCGTAAGTTTCATTTTAATTATTGCTAACTTATTTTGAAATGAGTAGACATTTATAGAGTTTCCGTTTCTAGCATAATTCTACCTCTGTATGTAGTCGACAATGTTGATAATACAAGTGTCCATTTTTATTTTTCGAAATTTGTCCAAACTGCCATGAAGGTTTCACCTTTGATAAATGTATGTCTCACTGGTTCAGGATTTCATTTTCCAATTAGAGAATTGGTGGAGCCATCTGATATCATAAAGCTTTGCATCAGCAAAAGGAACCCAACTGCAGCCATAAGGTGTTATTTCTATTTTCTATTTCTCGTCGAAGCAGTAAGAATTGGTCTTTTTGATTTAGAGGCAACAAATAATTTTCTTCTTTTTACTTCACTTTCATAGACTCTTCAGTTTATTTCGAGTGCCCATGACTTATGATGTCATCTCCCTCCCCCTAATTTTGGTGTTTTCACAGCCATGCTTACATTAAATGAGTTGCATGTGTGAAATAATGCTGCAACACTCCCCGAATAATCAATCATCTTACAGAAAAAACTTAGCTGGATATGTGAAATAATCAATGTATTAAAAATCACTCGACCTGAAAAAGGTAAAGAGTCAAGAGTCAAACCTGATATAAAACAATTAAGAAAATAAAAAATAGTACCAAAATTTTGAGGCGAACCGCCCAGTTCTTGACTTGTTTCAATGGGTTCTATTACTCCGATTTTTTTACATAGAGCGGACTGGGTTTTCTGGTTGTAAAATTAAAATTAGTTGATAAGTTATTTTTTCTATTAAATCTAACTTAAATATTAATTTCAACTACACATTCATAACTATTACTCCTTATCGAAAAACATTCATAACTATTACTCATTTATTATCCACTCATTCGTTGGACCCACTACTATTCCTCATAAAAAGTTACTTAAGTTTTTACACTAACATAGGCAATGCCTCTGTGAGTGACAATAGCATAGCATGTGCCCCTCCATGCATGTATTTGCAGGAACCTATATCTTTTAGTTTATGGGCAGCCGTGCCTCACAAAATATCCTAAATTACTACTATTGTTGCTGGACTGACCATCACCTCAAGAAAATCTTTTGATGCTTTTAATTGGTTTTTTATAGGCTGTATATTTCTTGTAGTTTTATTGTTAAGTTTCACAGTCTGTTTTGATTTAATCTTGTCTCAGTGTTGTATATATGTTTACATCTTTTTCTTACATGAGGAACTTGGGAACACCTTTGGAGTGGATCATGAATTAGCCAAAATAATACAGGAAAACTATTGACTGATTGACATTTTATCTTCATGCAAGATTCCACCTAAAGCTCTAATATGGCATCCTGTAGGTATGCATGTATGTTTCCCCATGTTCAAATATTGATCTGTACCATAATACTTGAATTTGGGAAGAAAGGGGACTTGGTGTCTGCTCTCATTGCCTTTGAAGCATCCAAGCAGAGCTTGGGTTGTCCAAATATGCATGTCTACCGCACAATAATAGATGTTTGTGGACTTTGTGGCAACTACTTGAAGTCTAGGACCATTTATGAGGTATTGCCCGAAATGTGTTATGTCTCACGTTAACTCATTGCTGTATGTCTTGTCTAGGTACTTGACACATGCCTTGTTTAAATATCTTACTTGACAATGCTATGTGTTATTTCATTATCCACACATTGTTAACCTGGGAAAATAAATTTTGATTTCTGAGAACTAGTCCATTTCTATTAATATCATATACTGACAATTATTTTTCTACAAACTAATAAAACACTGCAACAGGTTTGCAGATATGTTAAATAGGTCAGTCTTTTATTAAGAGCGCATTCTACACACCAAACGGTGATTTCCAGATGGGAGACTATCCATACTAGAAACTATTTCTTCACAGTTTTTTCATGTTTTCAAGGTGTATGCAGATGATTTTGTACTGCCATAACATTTTGAAATTATGGCAGGAATTACTTGCCTGCAAGGTCATCCCGAACACCCACGTTTTCAACAGTCTCATGAATGTAAATGCCTGTGATTTGAACTACACTCTGAATATCTACAAGAAAATGCAAGTAATGCTTCTCTCCCTCTCTCCCAACTCCCAATGAAAGACTTGATTTTATATATTATTTTTCTCCCTTTACCACCCATTTTTCTTTTCCTCCTGTAAGTTTTAGCTAAAAGCTTAAATATGAACCAATATGTCAACAAATTCACTTAGTTGGATGTCATATCCAGGAACTTAGTGTGACGCATGATATTGCATCTTACAACATCCTTTTGAAGTCGTGCTGCCTTGCTGCAAACGTTGATCTTGCCCAAGACATTTACAGGGAGGTGCAGTGTTTAGAGTCAAAAGGAGCATTGAAGTTGGATGTCTTTACATATAGCACAATGATCAAGGTATAAATTTCTTTCAGCTATTTCACATGTACATAAACTGTCTTTTGGAACTCGACTGCTTGACAAGGGGACACCATGGATTTGATAGCCCACCCCACAAGGTTAACCTTCTAGTACAACAAATATATTTCATTGTTTTGTTTTAAACGGAATGCTTGGGATATATTCTTCCATCACAACACTTCGAAATGCCATTTTTAGACACACTGTTATGCAAATAACTGGTCCATAAAAAGAGGTGAAAAACTTAAAACTAAACTACTTTCAGATTTCTGTATTTAATATTCAAACCAAGACTTTTTAACCTTTTCATTTTTATGTAAACTTCACAACTCAGATGCTGCAAACATACTTTTCCATTTTTATTATATATATTCTGCTCTGTTTTCCCTGGAAAATGTTGGTGGTGACCTCACATTCCCTTGGATATTCAGGTCTTTGCAGATGCCAAAATGTGGAAACCAGCACTGGAAATCAAAGAAGATATGCTGTCAGCTGGTGTTACTCCTAATACAGTTACTTGGTCATCATTGATCAGTGCATGTGCAAGTGCAGGTCTTGTAGACCAAGCACTTAAATTGTTGGATGAAATGCTTCAAGATGGTGGCAAACCTAATACACAGTGTTTCAACAACATTCTTCATGCTTGCGTCGAGGCTTGCCAATATGATCGGGCATTTCGACTATTTCAATCCTGGAAAGGAGGCAATGCTGCAAAAGATGTAGTTTCTGAACTAACAAGTCAAATTTGCACCACTTCTAGATCATTTGGTTTGTCCAGCTCATGCCAGTCACAGTTAACCATGAAGGTCCCATTTAGACCCACGACATCAACGTATAATATTTTGATGAAAGCTTGTGGCGCTGATTACTACCGTGCCAAACATTTGATGGATGAGATGAAAACTCTAGGTCTCTCTCCTAATCACATAAGCTGGTCAATTTTGATAGATATTTGCGGAAGTTCAGGGAATGTAGAGAGTGCTATGAAGGTAACGCAATCTACTTTGTCTATCTATCGGAACCAGATTATTGAAATTACATGTGATAATTAACTTGCTTATTGTATCTATTGCAGACATTCCAACAGCAATTCATTTCATCAAATGTGAAAGATAGATTAGTCCTATTTTATTCTAATTTGAAGATGAACAATTCTGGCACGTCTTCTTCAGTTGATATCGTACTAGATCTTGCTCGTCAGTAACATAATTTAAATATTAAAAATCTTGGAATGTAGATATTGAATGAAAAACACATTTAGCAGTAATGGAATCATTAGTCTAAAAAAGCATAGCTAGGAAAATAGAGGTAGTCATAGTTTAAGCCGAGCGAGGAAAGTTCCTTGTTGAGCGTTTGATGAACATAATAGTTGCCTTCAAACATCTAGAATCTGATTTTCTCAAGTTCAGATTAGCTTGAAACTTTATTCAAAGATGTTGCATATATTATGATAATTTCTATACCCTTATAAATGCTAAATTAGTCAAAGGAGTATTTTATTTTAACTAAATAAAAAAATATTATTGCTAAACCTACGGCCCGGCCTGTGGAGGAAGAATTTTGGAAGGTGGGAGTGGGTTAGGGTAAAATGCTTCAAGAATATCTCATGTCCTATATGCTGGCATTTGCTGAATAAGTGTGATAACGTGAATTCTTGAGCATTATCTAGGTTAACAAATGACTACATCGGAACATAGGAAAACTTATGTAAGGATATATATATCCTATAACGACCTTTCTTCTTGCAGTGCAGATCTTGAGATCCATGCGTGAGGGGGGTATTCAGCCTGATGTGGTTACATATACTACAGCTATTAAGGTTAGAAGAGTTCATTTTCTAATGACTTAGTTTTATGCACTGGCTTGTCATAGAAAGTCCAAATCTGAGTCTGCGAAGTATATTCTCTTAAATTGAATTAATGTCAGATGTATCTTGCTCGTTCATCAACAGGTCTGTGTGGAACATAAAGATATGAAGCTTGCATTTTCATTGTTTGCAGAAATGAAAAAGTATCAAATAAGACCAAATTTGGTGAGGGCATTTAGTTTGACAGTATGTTTTGGCTTTCCTTTCACTTTACCTTTTCTATCTAGATTTCGTGCTTCACAATGTACTAAGATAATCTCATTTAAAGAGGTTTACATACACCAAGATGTTATGATAGTAAGCCATCTAGAGATTAAATTTCAGGTGACTTACAACACGCTTCTTAGAGCTCGAAGGAGATATGGTTCATTGCAGGAAGTACAAAAATGCCTTGCTGTATATCAAGATATGCGGAAAGCAGGGTAAATGTGGAATTTTTGTAGCCAGTAATGCCCGTACATATTCTTTCTAGAAATTATCACAAAACATTCATTTTCTTCTCCCTGTTGCTTCCATTTGGATGCATGTAACTCGCCCTCATAACAATTCAAACAATTTTCAGGTACAAACCCAATGATTATTATCTCAAGCAACTGATTGAGGAGTGGTGTGAAGGTGTCATACAAGATAGCAGCCACAATAAAGGTCGATTTACTTCCCGTAGAACTGAATTTGGGCCTCACAGTCTGCTGCTGGAGAAAGTCGCAGAACACTTACAAGAGAGCAACGTTGAACGCTTATCCATTGATCTCCAGGGTCTCACAAAGGTATACTTACTATAGCCTCAGAAGTTTCTATACATGAGTGCCGACTAGTAATCCAAATATAAGTAGGAACTTAGCTTCTCAATTCATGATTAGGAATTGAAAATAGATGGTCTATTTTTGCTACTATTTCTAGAATTCTTCGTTTATTATCAAGTTAGTTAGATGAAGACCACTTACTAAATGACAAATATTGTGAGGGAGAGTACATAGCTTCATCAGTTATCATTTCACAAATTCTGGCTCGATTTCATTAAGTGTTTAACATAATTCATCGACAGGTAGAAGCACGGATTGTTGTTCTTGCAGTTTTGCGTATGATCAAAGAGAAGTACTCAACAGGTGACAAAATTTGATACTTGAGTTTAGTACTTCTACGAGGCCCTTTCAGCCAAATATCATGTTTCCGAAACCTTTAAATACACAACTGAAAACTCGTCAAGAAAATAGTTGCAGCATATTTAACTTTCAGCCTTATTTTGGTTGCAGGAGATTCAATAAAAGATGATATGCTGATCATATTAAGCGTCCAGGAACTAAGTGCATGTGTAGGCAAAGATGAGATTGGAGTCAAAGAAGCTGTTATTAAACTCTTGCAGTATGATTTAGGGCTTCAAGTAATTTCAGGAGGATCCAGAATTGGAAATAATAAAAAGAGTGATGTAGAAAACCCTGTCGGTTCAAATTTGAAACTAGAAGATCTCAAAAGAAGTGGCCCGTCTCCACAATTGGAATCTCCTACTAGAAGACCTGTAGTTCTACAAAGGCTAATGATAACCAAGGAATCATTGTGTCATTGGTTGCAAAGGAAGATGGCAGCAACAATAAATTGAGCAAGTTACACACTGGAAGAAGTACTTTCTATATTTCTTTCAATGACATCCTCAAAAACGTAGCATCCATTCTTTATTCTTTTATATAAAGAACAGGAAAAAATTATAATTGTACATTTGACTGAGAGCAAGCAGTTCCCTGCTAACTCCATTTTGCGCTGAATGTACATAAAAGTTGCAGAATGAATATATATGTATATTTCTCCAAAAACTCTGTTTCTCTTTTCTAGTTTGGTCATATGCTGTTTTGCCTCCCCAGCTGCAATTCTGTCTTGGGTCGGTGCTTCCGATGCACAAAACAATTTACATTACGAGCAGTGATCCTAAATTAGAGAGGAACAGGGTTCACGTGTAAAGCAAATAACTAGTAAACTTCTGACAATACAGCTGAACCAAAAATCACAATTTTCCCCAATGCTCAAACAGAATGCAGTTCATTTTAGAATAAATTACTTTCAAACATCATTGTAATACAAGGAATAAGCCATAAGGCATATTTCATTTCCAGCAGTAGCACCGAGAACATGATAAAATGCTTACAAAAACTTAACATTTTTTGCATTATGGTAAAGTAAAATCATACATCCTCTCTGAACAGGTAAATTCCAAATATTCATACCAGAAACAGATCCAAAGTACTTGAGCTTCAACAATCGCTCAGAGCCAGTCCTGCTGCTGCAGTTTGAGAGGCAAATACACCTCAGTCAGATACTGAAACCCAAATGTGCTGAGTGCCTGAATCTCAGCCTTCTGCTTCGACTTCACCATCAAAGACAATTCCTCGACCCAGCCAGAATTCTTCTTGACAAAATCTTCCTCTAGCAAGTCTTTCCCAGTCTTAATATCCTGCTCGGTCATTGGCAACCGACACTGCTCGGGAATCTTGTATTTATCTAGATCACTAGGCCGGATCCCCAGCCACTTTATGTCCGGAGTAGTCAAATTTGCACTGTCATATGACATATTCTTTGATCCACATCCATACACTGACAAAATCTTCAACCCATAGGGGTCGCTGTCCACCAGAGCTAACACCGGCAACTTCAACTCTGTCTTCATTTTCTTCAGAAACAACCGTGTTGCCACATCTGGCTGTCCTTTTGCCGTCACAATTATGCACGGGAACCTGTTATAGAACCTATCTTCTGCCAACCTCATATAAGCAGCATCCTTCTCCACCAACAATATAAACAATGCATCACTCTGCATATCCCCAACTCTATCTATATTGGGAGGAATCGCCTTTCCCCCCATCCCCATCTTCGTACAATCAATTATATCACCATTATCACTAAATATCAGCCTCCCAACAACAACCCCTTTCTCCGCAGCAACCACGTTGAGGCTGGACCGTGTGCAACCAAGAATACACGACACGTCATCCAGAACTGCATCCGATTGGGTTTGGTCTTGGAAGAGTTTAACATCGGTGTAAAATAGATCACGCTTGGTGACATGAATGCTTTTAATACAGAGTTGGTGGATGAGCTGGAGGATGCGAGTGGTGACGGTGGCCTTGCGGACGGTGGATACATTGGCGAAGGGGCGAACGGCAGATTTGTCCTTTAACACGATGCGGTCTAGCTCGGGGACGTAAAGTTGGTTAGCAGCGGAACGGGAGGGGACAGAAAAGGAGAAGCCGTTGCCGGCGAGGATGGAGTGCGCAAAGGAGAGTATGAGTGATTCAATGGAGGATTGGACGGAGGAGAGCGAGCGGTCGGTCACTTCGCGGCAGGCGGTGGAGAGGTTGAGGTCGTGAAGGGTTAGGGGTTTTGCGGCGGAGGAAGAGGCGGCGGAGTCTTTTAGGGTTTTCAGAGTTCGGAGGATGGCCGAGTCGTGTTTGAGTTTGGATTTGAAAGGAAGTTCCGAGTCAGAGTCCGAATCGTCGGCGGGCCGTCGGCGCTTTCTCTTATCGGCCATTGTTAAGAATGGGAGAGGCGGGAAAGCGTGCTAGGGATTTTATTGGAATGATATGGAAAGGCAAAACGACACCGTTATAATTTCCTTTTGCCTAAATGTAGCTAATTTATTAATTTTTAGGTTCTAATTAATAATTGAAATGTACCTTCATTGGATTATATTGAAAATGACATCCCATTTGTTTTCAAAAATTTGTGGGCACTTTTTTTTTTTTTCAAACTGTTTAATGGAGTGTTGTCACGTGGTACAATGTAAACAATAATGTAAAAGATAATGTACATCTAACATGATTGTTATTAATTATATCGGCATCAAAGGCGACCAAATTCTAATTCTCCCCTACTGAATTTCTTGACTTAACTAGAGAAGGTAGAGCCTAGAAAACAACTTTTAACTTGTGGAGTTCCTAGCATGATATTACCTAAAGAACTTGTTAATAATGTTTCCAAGGGTTCAAATCAATGCATTGTTTCCTATTCAGTGCTTTGATTTACCGAATCTGTGTACATTCACTGGAATTGAAGTCTTCTTGTTCTGGAAATGAAAATGAGTGCTAAATAATAGAGAGATTTAGGATCAATTAAAGGACGGACAACTTAAGTGGTTGTGACGTGTATTATGTAGGCCTAAAGAGGCTCTTGTTGATAAGATATGCAAATTTCGTAACAGATTATAGTACATCGAAGCAAATATGGTCTGTTGTGATTGTTAAGGATCCAGTTTCCTTGTATCTAATGATAGATATAGTAATGAGTCGAATGAAGTGTTAACAAATAACTTGCATAGTGAACACAAAATTTATTGAAAATAGTTCTCAGTTTTGTTTTTTTGTAAAAAGTAACGCTATTCAGCATCACTAGCCACTTTTCCTCCAAAGTTTGCTATTTTGGATTGTTTTGTTTTAATAATGAGAAAATGGCTCATTCTATAGCATTTCTCAATAATTTTGCCTTCTCTATTTTCCTTGTGTGCAGTGCAGGATATATTGGATGACGTGACAGACATTGACTTGGTGGCAAATCTAATGCCCCCAGAAAATGTACTGCTTTTGACGAAGGATTTGTGACCAATGTGGGAAGAATTTTAGGGTGAAAATAGGAATCCTGATATCAAGATGGTCCACTTCTTCCTCCTCCTCATTGTTCTCTAAAGCTTATAACTAGTTCTGATGATACAGAAGACGTTGTAAAAGAGAGACTTCGTGTATATAATGACAAGGTACTTTTTTATTCTCTTTATGCCTATTTATCCTTCTGTGCTCTTCTTCTTTCGGTATGAAAGATGCACTTAAAAAACTCATCCTTTCAAAAGTACATCCAAAATAAAAATTGTCACGATATGTTGAGCCATTTAATCCAAAAGCATAAGCTGTATTTAAATTTTATCTTTAACACGCTCTAAATTTTATCTTTAACACGCTCTTTCATATGCAGGTGATATTTTGTTTTTCTATCAAAGCCTAATACATACAACAAATTCATTAAATGGATGGCAGCGAGAGTTGAACTTACGACATTTGCATGTTTTGATATCATGTTGAACCATTTAATCTAAAATTTTAAAAAGGTCATGTGTATCATTTATATATATTGTCTCCAATATTATAGTTAACTTGTGTACGATTAAACCAAGTATTTGCTATATGTTCCCGTGCTTGTATCATTTTACATTTTAGTAGGAAAATAGGTGGCCAAGGTGGATATGAATTAGGAGGTATGACATAGTCTAAAGAATGCTTCGTTAATTGTGATGTTCCATGTTCATGAAAACAGATGTTGGGTGAATTCCGTGATAAATCATACACGCTTTTTCAAAATTACCATTTTATGTTGAGGAGCTAGGAAATAACTCATGCTTGCCGTATTCTGTCATCTCATCTGTTATTCAATTTGAAGTTGCTGCAGTAGTTTTTGTTACACTTCATTGCATCCTGGGAACATGCTCTTTTTTTTTTTTTGTCAGTAAATAAAATTGTATAGATCAAAAATCGAGTACACCTACTCCGGGCATACCCGGGCTTCCAAAACAAGCATAACAAAGGATCCAAAGATTCAAAAAGTAAAAACAAACATTACAACCTCAGTTGTAAGTTCAGAAAAATGGAGATTGGAAGAGTAACTAATGCGAATCACATATACAGTGGGGTGACCAAATGGGAACCAGCCTATAAGCTCGATGATAAAACTGGTTTTAACAAAATGTGATAGTTCCTCTGTGGCAATCCAAGTAAGAATGAATCAATTTGTATCTTGTGATTCGTTTTAGATGAAAGGTATGATACCATGAAACACTAATGATGCAACTTTGGATTAAGAAAAAGATTTTGAACTCGAGCTACTAATATGAAAAATGGAATGCTGTGAAGTTTTGGTGATTGATTATGGTGTGATATTTGCATTATATAATATATATATGCTGCTTCTTTATATGAAGCTCAGAAACAAAATTTGTGAGAGAAAATATAAATTGCATTGTTTGGATGCCCTTTTGTTCTACCAGGTGAATTCTATCCAGAAGATGGTTTATATTCTATCTTGTTTCCCCCATTAATTTGAAGTTTTAACTGGCCTTTTTTCCTTTTGAAATGCATGCTACTATATTAGAGGGCGACAAAAGTAGAGGAATGACAACCTGTTAATATAAAATTTCTACAGATAATTGTCAGTTGTGAAAGCTTTTTATTCGTAGTTTTGCAAGTTTTATTCAACCTGTGCACGACGCTACTGTTTTTCAGAGCTCTTGGACAAAATCAACTGTAGAAGTTGACAGCCCTCAAGCCATGTCTCCAAGGGATCAAAAACATGAGTGTCTGGACAGCACTTGTGCCCAATTTATTCGCTCAAATGCTGAAATCTCTGGTAATAAAAAGGTACTTACGAGTGTAACAGGGAAAGGCGATGAAGAGAAACAACCAGGTATATTGCGTTAGTTTTTGGCTTTGTTCTTAGTTTCCTCTGACCCTGATCTAACAAATTCAGAATCACAATCTGACTATCCAGTTAAAGCTCCACTTGAAGTTATAGGTGCTGAACAGAAGACAATGCCAGAAACCGATCGTAATATGAGCAGCAAGCGAATCA